CCTGCTAGCTCAAAAAGAAATGCAGAATTTCACGCTTTGTTTCGGAGCGTTCCCGAGGAAGATTTTCTTATAAATGGCTTTATGAAGCTTGACGATCGTCTCAATTTACCGTCTTGTGTTTTCCATTCTCCAATGTCAACATCTTAATAGTAATAATAATCATTGGGATTATCTTACATAATACAAGGAAATCGACACCTCTAAAAAAAAACAAAAAAAATTGACACGAAAAAAATACCTGTACATTTGTCCTCTTCAATAATAAACCGTTTTACAAACCCGCTTGTCATTATCAAATTGTATAACTTCTCCACTGTTCCTGTGAATGTTGCATCTAAAGAAACATTTTCATAATGCTGGCCGTTCCTTAAACATGGGCATTGCGTAGAAGCTCGCCGCCTTTTAAGGTTTGTATTAGATCTTACAAGATGGCGAGACTGGGTGCGCGGGGAAATAGGATGAAGAGCTGCTTCACTAGTTTCTGAAGCTTTTAAATCAGAAATATTGGTAATGTCAAGAACTGGCGATTTTAATTCTGCCATAGACTTTGATTTCAATCGATGGCCCTTGCTTCCTTTTAACAACGCATCATCCTCAAATCCGCTTTTTGTGGGAGATGAAGGTAATGAATGAACTTTACTTTCGAAATTTGAATCTTTATGCTGTTTACTATCATCATTAGAAAATGATGACCCACTGCATACAAATCTGATTCGATCAAGTTTCAATTTTGGTAATTCAAATTTTTTATGAAGGCCACCTTGTGATTTACCTGATCGAATTAATGTGGTTTGATCAAGATAGAATTACAACAATCAAAAATACCACTTCCACTGAATTTTACTTTATGGCATTTACTTTATATTTTATAATCTCTCATATAGCATCCAATAGAATTTTTCTCACCTTCATCGCTCATTTCTGAAGATTCTGATGACGCATCTGAAGCTTCACTGCTTTTGTTAGGTGTGTACTCTGACTCATTAAATGATGGTTTTTGGTTAAGTGCTGGATGTGTTTGTTTCCATATTACGTTTAACAATTCGAAAGCGGTATCCCTTGCTAAGAAAGAAGTAAAGAAATGCTAAATAATGTAGATAAAGAATGTATAATAGATTTTATAAGTAAGAAGCAAAAATTTCATGAAAACATAAAAGCCAACTTACTCTAGCGTGAAGCGTTGATATTTGAATGGCATTTGGAATGACAAACGCAGTCACCTTTTTTTCAATAGAAACTATGTCCGAAAATGCAATCACTAACTATAAATCAATATTTATCATTATAAACAATCTGTGAAAACGAAACTATATAAAGTTATGAAGTTCAAGATAGGACATACATTGGTAACCCATCCGAAAATGTTTGCATTAAAGCATACGTGATTGCATGAAACGTATATACGTCCTTGTACAAGAATTTCTCTTTGCAACGCACACCCATAATCTAAAACAAACCATCGAAGTTAATTATTTGTTAACACGTAAAAAAGAATTAAGATCAATAGATACCATTTATAAGAAAATCTTCCTCGGGAACGCTCCGAAACAAAGCGTGAAATTCTGCATTTCTTTTTGAGCTAGCAGGAGTATACCCACCACTCAATGGCATGTCCACAAATGAATCATCCATAATACTATCCACAGTGCCGTTTAAGCTTTTTCTTCTTTTTTTTTGTCTTCGCGGAAGTTTTAGAAGCTGGCAATTTAAAAGGACGGCGCGCGCCATTTGTTTCATTACTGGAGTTTGAAGGTTGTGTAATATCGCTAAATGAATTTGAAAAAGGTGCTTGAGGAATATCTAAAGCGATTGGAGTGCTAACTTGTTCATCTAAGTCAAAGTGCTCAATATTTAAAGAACTCGCTTTCGGACTGGCCGAAGTCGTCGTTATGGTAGTAGTATCCACAGTAGTTGTCGGAAGCCCAGTGCCAGATAGGTTTTCTTGCCATGAAGTAGACGGAGAACCGTCTACATCAGCTTTCAGCTGATCATCATTTGTAAATGGAACAGAGGTTTGTGATGATTCCGAAATTAGAGGTCCATTCGAATCGTCAGCATTTGAAGTATAGTTGTTAGGCGAAACCATTTTTGTGTATTGACGGAAAACGAAATCTAAACCGGAGAAGACGAAAGAGGAAACCCCTGGAGTAATGACCCCCCGCGAAAGACGAAACCCCCTGCGAAAGACGAAATCCCCTGCAAAAGGCGAAACCCCTGCGAAAGACAACGATAATGTAAAAGGAGTTCAAACTGTTGCTATCAAATTATTAACTAAATTAAAGAATTAAAAGATAAAACCAAGAAAGTGCCTGACTGTTGTGTGCGTATCTTGTTAAATAATACCGATATGAATACGTAATAGCGTAATAGCCCTTAGATGCGGCCTATAAGATTTTACCGGATTCGTTTGATGAAAATAGCCTATTTCATTTTTATTAGAGCAAATAAATAAACAAGTAAAAATTATATTTTTACATATATTTTAATTATCTTTTTAAAAATTATCTTTTAAGGTTTTAATTTTGGGTTTCAAAATCTGAAATACTGTAATTTTATTATGTATAAGTAGAATTATCTTTTTTATTAATGTATTAAAGTTGGTTAGACCAGATCTACCGAATAAAAATTTTGACTTATCAATAAATAAATGCATAGCGATAGTAATGCTTATGTTATCTAGTCGAAAGTTATGTATTAAAAAAAAATTCTGTGAATAAGTAACTTTTATAGTTGCTATTGTTGCAAATTTCCAAATGGTGTTAATATGATGAGCATACGCCACATACAATGTTTATTATACAGTAGCTTATCATTTCGATACTAGTGCGTAAAAAGACCAGTGAGTAAAAAGTATGTCATCTAATACTAGTGCGTAAAATGTATGTCATCTAATGACAGTACGTAATACAGTATAGATACAGTATTAGTATACTTTTATTAATATCTGTTTTGCATACCAATTTGGAACACCCAAGCAATCAAATTTGGACACCTAAGCAATCAAATTCGAATATCTGATCAATCAAATTTAGACACCTGAGCAATCAAATTCAAATATTATAGCAATCAAATTTGAACACTATTCTTTGATCTGTAGGTTTTTCCAGGCAAACTTGTCTGGAAAATTATTATAAATATAATTATAATCTATATTTTTTAATTTTTAAAATATTTAAATAAAATTTTTTTTAATAACCTTTTTAAAAATAAAGATTATATTATAACAGTATTTAATTTTATTTTATAAAAAAAAAATTTAAATCAGCAAAAATTCTCTCTAATAATTCTCTGGTCAACAACAATTAAAATCAAACTACAGAAAAATACTATAGAAATATCCAAGATAAATACTATTCTTGGTTCTACCTTGAGTAGATTGTTATTAACAAAGCCTAAAAAATGTGAATACCAAAAAGCAGGTGTTAAATAGGTAGTTTTTTTGGAAGTTAAACCTTTGTTTTTTTTAGCAGACTTCTTGGAATATTTAGTATTCAAACTAGAAGGTTATTCTGAAAACAAGTCTATTTGAAGTAAATTGTTGTTAACAAAACCTAAAAAACATAAAATACTTAGAAGTAGGTATAAATAAGATGGTTTTTTGAAGTTAACCTTTTCTTTTTGGGTAGAATTCTCAAGATATTTGGCATTCAAATTAGAAAGTTTATTCTGTAAATAAGTTTTTTAAGATAGTAAAAGTTTGTAAAAATATATATATGACTATAAAACTTACAAAAGAAACTCATACTCTATTATTGGCCTACTACTTTTTTTTTAAGAAAATTTTTGTAAAAAGTGGGCATTTCAGTTTACTCTTTCTAAAAGATTAATATTATATAAACCAAAACAATTAGTATTATTTATTTTTCAAATCAGATAGACAATAACAAATGCATACAGTAGTTCACATATGTCTCAAATACAGAATATTTATACAAACAATGCTCTAAGACAGTATTTGACTTTTTTACAAGTCTGGTTAATAAATTTTTTTTATATAGTTTTTTACTTTGATATATTAAGTAGATAAATTTAGAATAGAAACTAGTTTATTTAGTAGTATATAATTTTTACAAGCCTTTTATAAGCTTATAACTATGATATTAAGTTATGTAATTTTCTTTTTTGTTTTTTTTAATATTCTTTTTATTCTTTTTATTTTTTGTTTTGTATTCTTTTATTGTAAACCTCTATACTTCTGTATTTTTTTTAGTATTTCTTTTTGTTTCTTGTAGCTTAATATAAGATATTAGCTTCTGCTTATGATCAAAAAATTCAAATCTTCAAGTTGAGAGTTCGATATAAAGCAAACTGGCTACTTTGATAAATTGTATCTAGGTCTTATAGTTGAATAAGTCTTTATTAAAAAAGAATATAGTACAAAAATTATATCAGAATTACTAGCCAAGAAATATAATTTTTTGATATTTCTAAAAAATAATAAAGACAAAATTATTTAAAAAAAAAAAAAAATTTTAAATTGCTTATAAAATAAAAATATACTACTGTAATTTAAAAAAAAAATTTTAATTAAAAAATTTATCTACTTATTTTTGATAAACTTTTTAAATAATATTACTATAGTATTTAGCACTATAATAGTTATATAATTTAAATAGAGATCTACTATTTTTACTATAAAAAATTGCTATTTCCACTATAGTTATATAAGATTTTTTATTTTTAATTATTGAGAAAAATTATTTTTTTTAAAATTAAAGAAATTTTTATTAAGTTAGGGTTTGTTGAGCTTCTAAGTAAAATTGTAGAAGAGATTTTTCTAGTTTTAATAGTAGTTAGATCATTAAAATTGGCTTTGTAAATCCCAAAATACTTGAAGTTAAAGACACAAACATAAGAATTTAATATAAAAAATCAATTTTTTTAAAATTAAAAAAGTTTTTATTAAGTTAGAGTTTGTTGAGTGGTTAGATCATCAAAATGGGCTTTGTAGATCCCAAGATATTTGGGGTTAAAGATGCGAATATAAAGATTTACAAATTGATGATTATACAAAATATTATAGTCTCTATATTTACATCTTTAACCCCAAATATCTTGGGATTCACAAGGCCAATTTTGATTATCTAATCATTATTAGAACCAAAAAAAAACTCTTCTACAACTTTACTTAGAAGCCTAACAAACTCTAACTTAATAAAAATTTCTTTAATTTTAAAAAAATTATTTTTTTATATTAATTTATTATTTTTTTTTTTTTTTAACATGTCTTGCTACTGTTTTTTATTAGGATATAAACCAAGCAAAAATTACAAAAATTCTTAACTATAGTTATTACTTCTTTAACCACAACAAGTGACTCACTCAACTTAAAAAAGCCCAGGTGCAATATCACCTAGTAGCCATTTGCCTCTCTTTGGACCCCTAACTTCTTAAAGACATGAATCCTTCGACCATTAGCCAGTGCCACATACCATATCAGTATTATCTTTTCTTTTATAAAAGTGAAATACAAACACAAATTCAAAGGACAAAAAGAAAAAAAGAGGTGATATCTTGGCATCCAATTTCGATCTACTTAAACAAATAAAACCAAAAAACATATAGAAAAAAAACAAAACAAAAAAGAAAAGAAAACAAAGATAACACTATTAAAGTTATGCCAAATTGTAAAAATTATATAGTACTACTAAATAAACTAGTCTAAACTCTATGCTAGTTATTTATGTCTATATTAGAATATATAAAATATCTATTCTTGAGTAGAGATCCAAATTCGAAATTTCTCTTGCAGTTTTATCAGATCTTTGGTACAGTATCCTGTATCATATTGTCATGTGAATGCTTGTTTCTGAGCAAAGTTAAATAATTACTGCTGTTTTTTAGCTTTTGGTAATCTTGGTATAAATACTGCAACCTCTTGAGGTAACCAATCTATGCGATTTTTATCCTAAAGTAGACATATACTCCTGTACATGACTTTCTTTTTTGGTAGCGATTGTTGTATCGATCTTTTGATGGGAGTATGCTGTATTTTTCACTTTTTGTTAAAATTTTGTGAAGAACAGAGAGTGGGTTTTGGAAGAGTGTTTCAGTTTGTAGGTAGCCTTAAACTTTGATAAGGAGTGTATTGAAAACTTGCTTGTTGTTTTTCTTTAAACCAACTAACTTTTACTTCGTTAGCAGAAGCTATGCTTCTATCAAAATTTTTTGTACAAGGGCATCACCTTCTGCTAGTTATCTTGTACAAGAATGCTTTTAACTTGCTTGCTAAATATACAGAGGAGTCCAAAAAAAAACAGTCAGAAACCTTGATCTCTGTAAAAACTATTATTTTAGTTGTTTCTTCTACTTTCTCCAACAAGTTTTCCATTTTTGTTAGTCATAAATTTTGGTACAAGTGATCGTCAGGAAGAGTTGATTGACTTATTATATTTTTTATACTAAATATACTAAATACTAAAAATAGAAAATCTTGTATAATTATAGTGGAAATAGCAATTTTTCATGATAGAAATACAGTCTGAGGATATACTAAATTTGGAAATCAGGTTCTAGAAGGATCTACAAACAGATTTG